CGCGTATCAGTCTCACTATCAAAGCTCGCACAGAGGGATGTAAGGCAAGAGGTCACCAGTTATGTTGATGCACTCATTATTAGATTCCACCATTAAAAACCTGTATGGCACAGAAGAGTTGACTAATAATCTGGCCAGAATTATATTGTCTATGTGGGTTTCTCAAAATTCGAAAGATCGTGGCTATTTGTAAAGTAGGCAACATTTGCAGTGTAGGGAATGCGGGTGTTTTTGGAGCAGTGATGAAAAAAATGGCTCCAATTTCTCTGTGGTTGAGAGTTTTCGGAGTGGGGGGCAGTATTATCCGATACTGCGAAGGAGGCGCTTGTTTTTTTGAGGGCAAAATGCATGATCGAACCTATGCCTATATAACCTATATACAAAGTAGTCCGCATGTTTCATCCTATATAATACGTTCATATATTTTGTCTGCGGTGTAAATGGAAATTTCAAAGGGCATGGTTTCAAGTGGTCGGGAGAAATGTGATGAGAAGCACGTGACGTAGTGCGAAGGAGGGAGCTTTTGTGTTGGTTCCATTTTCGACGACACATCGAATTCATAAGAATTCGAGAAAAATTTTTGATGAAGGGTGTGCCTCGGTTTTTGGATTGGTTCGGGAAATATCAGCGATTTGAGGAGCAATATGGCAGAATCAATTGCGACCCCTGACTTATTGCTTGTGGAATCTTACGTTTCATGGTTGTGGCCCCATCGTTCGCGAAAGCTCTCAGTATTGAGCTCTACGGCATTATCCGATCAAGTGTTGTCGTAGTGAGATTTATGAGCGGATTTGCCTCGCAAACAACTTTAGAAATCCAGCTAAGGCTGGGACGTAGGGTAAGTCACGAAGCGATGAGGTCCTTCAAAATAGGATACTTTTATACCAAAATATTGTTTACTCAGAGGCAAAATAGCACATGGTTCGGTTACCACAGTGCATAACCTTCTTCAGCGTTCCACGGTATAACAGTACAACATTGTGGCGCAACCACTCACCTTCTGAAGCTACTAATTTATACAAAATGCAGAGTTAGGCAGAGATAATACAGGGTCACTTCTCCCCGATTTCTCGCGTTCGCTTTGCCGTATGCGGCATGTCTTTTTTAACTGTCTTGCAGCGTCAAACTGCATTTACCGTTCTCAACCCGCCTCCCCACCAGTCGATAAAGCATAGTTCCTTCGTAGACTGCCTTTTTTGCTGGTTGTTCGAATCTAAACGATAGCTGGTAGCATTGGTAAACCTATAGCCAACAAAAATGTAATGACTCGCTTCTTGCCCGGGTGACAGCGATCGAGGAAAGAAGGAACTAGTCAGGAATGGTAGATAGTTGAAGGGCTCTCTGACTCACAGATTACGCGCTCCAATCATCTCTCGCATTTCTGCGATGCGCCATGAGCGCGACGCGATTTTCGGGGAGAAGATACCACACCTGGTAATTTAGAGTGCGAGGGAACTAATATTGTTGTGATTGTTTCAGGTACTGAAATAATTATGAAAGGATACAGATAATAGAGAGCTGTTTTTTGACTTAGTAGTCGTGGGTTCCTTGTAGGCTAGTGGTTTGTTTTGGCTCGCTGAGCGATAACTCATTATCAGATGTCGAGAAAAATACAAAATTTGCTCGGCCGATTACTATGCATAACATTCTAATCTTGAACTCAATAAGTGAATCATCAGGTGGAAAATTATAGAACTGAAGTCTAACCATAATTTCAAGTTTGATTGGGAATTGTTTCTGTGGTCAGCTTATTTTTTCATGCAACTATCCTAGGCGGTGGTGGACTTTATACTGAATGAACGACAATTCTCAACTGCACTCAATATCTTTACTTCGGAACGACCAACAGAACGAGACGATTGTAAGCTGATGTGAACGTCGTCAATTCCAAAGTGTCATGGGCACTGGCGCACTGTGCAGTGTCCCTTCATGAAAAGGGTGACGATTAGCTCAACAAGTATTGCTCATTGTTAGTTGTCCTAGAAAGTTTATAGTGCAAAATGCAAAATGTCTAGTTTTACCTCCATTGTGCCATTAGTGTCATTGTTCTAGTCTTTGGCTTCTACGTCATAAGATAGTGATGTCCACGTATTGCAACGCGAAAGAACTCGAACCCGAAGTAGTTGGTGCAGGGTTATGTAACTGTCCTATGTAGGAGTTCATGTTTGGTGTTGATACTGAAGTATTTCCAGCTATCTGGAGCTGCTCCTCTCTCTGGCCCCGACCTGTTGAGTAGGCGAGCGCTTGTTGCATTTGATCAAGTCAAGAACTTCATAAGATGCTTTCTGAGCAACAGTGAGTACGATAGTGCATAATTTGGTAGTTTGACCAAGGCCAGGCGTAGGGATTTGTGATGATTCGAAACTATAAGGGACATGTATGATCTCAGAAAGTTTGAAGCTGAAAAAAACCTTGTATCACCGTTGAAAACACGAAAATGGAATGCTCGGTCCACGTCTAGCTGGCCGCGATATCGAGGAAAACCTTTGAACAGTAGGGAATCAAATGCGTTTGTGAGCTAGGTAAATGACTCCAAATGATTCCCAATCTTTCCATGACCATCAATAAAAGTAGATTGCCCCGCTTAGTCATTTATGTATAGACCATTATAAATATCACTTTGTACTTGCCCAAGCAGTCAGTTGTGTGTGTAAGAATTTCGGTGTTAGTTTAGAATAGGATTGCAAATGATGTGCCATTGAAGCTGCTGAACGTTTACCTGTTCATTTCAGCACAGGGAAGAACTTTATTAACTCGAACGCTGGACTTTCGTAGTTTTTAAGAAGCTCACTGTACATAGTAATAATGAATTTTTGTGGAGTTAGCAACGAAATCTTGTTGTTATCTGTTTTGTGCGCCATTCACTAACCCAAATAGACAGATTGTGTGCATGTTTACGAATTTATTAATTTTAAAGTATACAAGTTGACAAATGAAGATCCCTAACCACTGAGCATCTATGTACATTCACACTCACACACACATGTATTTTGAAACAAATACAGGAGACCCTTGTGATCAAAATCCGATGAGATACGATTGAGACATCACAGAAATAATGTCGACTGTCTAGGAGTGAGCCGTTTCGTCAAACAACTGGGAAAAAATGTTGAAGTGGTTGCTGTATCGAAGAGAGCAGGGTGTTTGCCAGAAGGGGAGAGATCGGTTCAGCCTGAAAGAGCGATATTGCAGCCAAGGAGCAAGATCACGGAAACAACGCAATGACTTACCGATATTGTTGGATCGAATGAAGCCGATTGTTGTCTGAGGATTTCGGAGTATAGCCTGAAATCGAAAAATTTTCCATGTTGTCGCGTGGATGGCAGAATGAATTATCCTATATGACACTTCCAGTAAGACTAACCTCGCTTGTAAAAGCTGTTGCATGTACTCTAGCAGAATATCCTGATTGAGGGTTGGTAATAGCGGGTTGGTGAGGTTCGAGGACAAGAGAGGTGAAGAGGTGGGCAACGACGGAGACGACGAACCAGAAACGGATGCAGAAATAGCTGCGGATGAGGAGACCATGTATGCTCTGGCCGACGTCTCGTCGGTGTACGTAATCGTCGTGCCTTCTGAAAAACTCCTATTCCAGCAATGCGATTTATGTCCATTTCCTAGAGGTATCGCTCACCATCAGTCTGATCTCCTTTTGGAACGATTCTCAGGCGCATATTGCCATTCTTGGAGCGGATCGTCTTCAGTACGGCCAAGTTCTGTCCAGGTTGTCGATGACGGAATCGACGAATCAGGGCATTGGCTCGCATGCTCATTACAGATGAGCACTGAAAAGGTTATTTTTGATAATCAGACAATATTTACGTTGGTAGGGCATGGATGTGGTTACTCACACGTTCACAGCTGCATTCGTTGAATGGGCAGACAGCAGCATGACCTTTCAGGACCGAAATGAAGCCATGCCCCTCGCACTTACGACAGGTTAATCGTTTCACTGAAACATAAAATTAGAAAGGGCATAATAAGAGTTTTCTTAAAAATTTCATTTTTGAGTTTTCCCTTTTTCTACCCCTCCCAATCACACCCTTCTTATCGGTTGTGGGATCTTCCGCACACGAGTTGTCCTCTTCGTACTCCGGACCTTATCCTCTAATCGAAATTAGTGTGATGTCTGGAAGGTCATCTGCTTCATCGTCACCCAGCTAAAAGTGCCATGCTCAATCTAGAAAGTGGTGGGGACATTCATACGAATCCGGATTAGCTAGACGGAGAACGGAAGCGCGATTTAATACATCGATGAAACCTTCTTATGGTATTACCAGGCAATCTTTACGGCTCTACGCTGCTGTTTAGAAGCACCATCTGTCAATTAGGATAGATTTGCTTACGTAGTGATCGGAAAACCCTGTCACATGGTTACATTTTGGGCCATTGAGAATTGCCGAGTCCCCACGCGGGAGACGTACATGCTGATTGATAAGAAGGGTGGGAAATGGTGATATACCCAAGAGGTAAAGAAGGAATTTTGTTTGGTACAGTCGGTCATATAGGATATTTTTAAAAGCAGGATGAAGACGAAAAAGTTCGGTGGTTCCGTATAAGCAGCATCTATATAATTTCTTTGTTTGCAGAGATAACCACGATCCCCATACTGATAGAATTCCCATGGGTTTCAGCTGTCCCGGCCCCCAGGTCCAGTTTTGGGCTCCCTGAAAAACAGACATTCGAAGAACATTTTCCGGTGCAAGGCAGGATAATATACTTGCGTTTGGGGACTGGTGAGCGAAATAAACGTTCGCTTCTGAAGGGAAACTGTATTTCTGGCGAAATAAAGTTAACTGGGATCCAGGACTCAAACTTACTGGTTTTCTTCTTCAGTTGATCGTCTCGTTGCACAGATGGACCGTCGAATGGCATAGCCGCAAAAATCATCGTCGTCGCGTCGTCGTCAACAGCTTTATATGGTAAGGGGGCGGCGCCATGTAGCCGTCATCACTACCTTTTCACTATGTCATAATCCGCCATGAAGACATTTCACTGCCATCCTCGTTCCTCCTGTTGAGAAGAGGATCAAAGCTGTTTGCTTTGACATATTACTATTAACAGTTGTGAGATGTGGGCTATTCAATCTCCTCAAATGTCAACTTGATTGTGACAGGTTTTTTGAGTGGGTATTACATGGATTTTGAGAATGTTTCCGGGACGAGAAATGTTCCCGTCGTTTCCGTAGACAAAAGGGGGCTGCTAGAAGGCATTAAATTCGGGTAAGGTAAAGGCTTTGTATGGAACACTAGTAGTTAAGGTTCGCACCTTATATTAGCACATGGAGCATTGCCTAGTCGAAAAGTGGATTTGGTATGGTGCAATAGGGGCTTAAATCTGTTCCAACGCCAACTACCGCCGAGTTACAACCTAATAGGTTACACATGTTGCTTTACAACGGCTACAACCTCGTTCAAACACCACGAACCACGAAAAGAAGCAGATTCAGCAGTTTAGCACATGTGAGCCAGCGATTTTCATGCCTACGGCAGAGTTCGAGTAGGTGCAGAGGAGTAGCACAATAAGAATTCAGATCCATGGTGTACTGTTCTGACTCTCTTGATATGGTAGCGCACAAGGGAAGAGTCGTGAATATCGCTGCAATGAATAGAGTATGGTATAACGTGCTGACCTGGAAATTCGTCGGACTGATAGCATCTTGGCTGGAACTGGAGCGTCATTGTCTTTTATAAAATTACTGGACCGATTGCTGATTACTTGAACCGGGCTTTTCTCTTTCAATCCCTCCTTTCTCGATTGCAAGCCAGTTACAGTCAAACTCTAGAAAACATTACAGCTGCTATAAAAATCAGTTAAAATGCTGATTGTGGAGAATTCTTCGCCCAGAAAATCAGTAACTTAATCCTTAGTAGAGGGAAAATAAATTTTTCCAAGTAATTAACCATTGGGGACCGCGCCTTTTATATTGACCTTACATTAACCTTTAAATTCTCTTATAACTGTAGTTGGAAATGAAAGATTCCTGGACCTGAAGAATTATGAGAACACTTGAAAAATAATATAAATACTACAGGAGCACGATATGGTGTGGCCCACCAACGCGTCACGCGGTCTTCATTGGGTTAATGTTACTATGTTGGGCTATCCCTCAGCATACCCACTTCTGGTGACAGATCTTCTAGCTTGGAATGAGTTTGTGATTTTCAATAAAATAATCGGATTCCCAAGATTTCACGAATGTCACATACGTGACACATCATTGCAGTTCCTTCTGAGCGCTATGTGCGTCATTCCGTAATCCTCGTACATATTGCAAATGGTCCGTTTGTGATGATATCAAAAAATAACGTTCTTTCTATGTCAAAATATTTCAAATTGTGTCACGTGGACAGGAATGAGAATGAGTAGCAAATGAAAGCAACTTCTAGAGGTACAAAGTTGAGCGGGACTGAACTCCTCGTTAAAGGAAAAAGCTTTTTTTATTGAATGAAAGCTGGTTCTGATTACTTCTTTGGGTTCTAATTACTTGTTATACAGCAAAGAGAGTGAAGGTTACGTTAGTCAAAGCAGGCTGCTTGCCAAACTGCAAGTCAACGCTCTTCATTCGACTCAACGAATCTCGTAGAAGTCAATTCTGGGGCAGCAGAAAGCTTAGCAACCTTATCACTTTCTAATACCTTAAATGCAACTTTTCCGATACCATAGACCTATCGATTAGAGCCATTGAAATAGATGTTTCATAGTATTCAACGACGACGTAGTTCAGGCTCCCATTCAACAGTTTTGTAGGCAGCGGACGAATTAGCGTGACTGGGTAAGCAGGCTGAGATATGAAGTTGAGAAAAACTGTGCATCGGTATGACTCAATTCAGGCAATCCATCGGGAAACAAGAGCTATCGGAAGGCTGCGTCTGCAATTGAATTGTGCACAGAACATTGCTACTCTATTCTTTCACTAAAAATGAAGAATAAAGAAGTTTGACCTTCATCAATCTCGTTTTTAAAACGCGCCCCTGCATCTGACTTCCATTCAAAATCGAAGCTGGCACCATTTAGCTGATCGAACCGTGATGGAAGGCCCAATTGGCTTGGGCGAGTATCGATCCAGAACTCGAACTCCAAGCCATTGGTGTGTGCTAGTGCGCCACTTCCACACTTCATGGAAGAATTGAAAGTTATCCATCTTCATGAGACTGTGTGCCTTTCGAGGGGCGTATATATATATTATGAACAACGGTCAAAACTTTCAAATGCGAGATCTCCTTTTTCTAAGGAGTACTACCACCTTCTCGCAGTCCAACCATCTACAGAGATCTCTTAGCCGAAGGTATGTTTAGATAGGTGAGCAACTGCTCTTCTCACAATGAGTCTCTAACTTTTAGCAATGATGTCCTTTTGCAACGCGCTGACAGAATTAAAACGACTCTGATTTGTACTTTCTATCGGGTTCTGTGCACGGCTACCTTAATGAAATATTGACTGCTGAAAATCCTCCTCCGATCCATCCGGCTTTTTGAATGGCTTTTTAAAATTCCATTGCCTTTCAAGTTTGATCCAAAAAGCTTCGGAAACATACTGTGATCTAAATACAAAGAGGGAAAAACCATTCTGTAATGAGGAGCAGTTGAAAGGGATGTAACCGTGCGCAGTGACGTAGGATTACCGCTCCTTTGCCGTCACTGTACCAGTACGGACATATGTGCTCAGCAGTCTCGGTTTTTCGCCCTTCACTACTAACTTGTTCTTTGGTGTAATCCAGTAGTCTATCATCTGAGAGCCTCTCGCGACCAATTTCGATCCAACCGATCGAATCGTCCAGATTCGATCCAACCGAATCATCCAGAGTGATGTTTTCACTATAGTCAAGAGACCGCAACTGTTTAGAGGACCTCTCAGCCATCATCAGATTTCTTCTATAGCCTAGCTAGCTGTCGGATTATTCAACTTCCTTGTAGAATTTCAGAGAACACTGGGCTATACTCCAGCTCTGCTTCTTTGGCTCATATCCTGGTGAAAGCATAATCCTTCTTCCACTTCCGGCTATGGTGTCCCTAAGATGATTTTTCCAAATCCCTCTCGTGAACAAGGTATGAGAGACCGCAGAAATGATTGTTACAGTGCGGCTTACCATCGCATTATCTAGTACAATATGTATGGGATGTCCTTCTTTAACCCCTTTACCAGCTCTTCCTGGTCGCATAATAAAGCGCTGTTCGCTCAATTTTCGAGTACTGAAACCTAGAATTTCAAGGCTCATGCTACTTTTTTTCAAATGATTTCCAATCTTATTTCATGTATTCTGAGCTACAGTACGGTAGTTTACTGCATAGTTCCTAGCGTCAAAGTGATCCTGTCGAGTTGGAATATTTCAATGCCATATGAGATCTTGGAGTGAAGTAGAGTCATTTTTGAAAGCTCCACGTTTTGATAACAGCTGACAAAAGAGGGTAATCCCGAGGAGGTTTCAGTCAAGACCTCTCATCTATCCACATCTATCTCATCTAAGGCCCACTGACATACGGCGAGATCGAGGAAGTAAGTGGTATGATTAGGGTCCAATTTGAAGACAACGGCAGAGCGCTTCCCTGCCATTTTTGCCATAAGAAGGAGATCTATCGGATTACTGGTTTTCCAGAGCTATCATCATCGTCGAAACAACGATATCTCATGTAAAAGCAAAGTTCAGATAGCAGGATTATTGTCCGAAGATTATTTTTGTCTCTCAGCTTCAAAATCCACCTTTGTTTGTTCGGGACTTTATCCAGTAAGAGGACAAAGCGTCTCAAGGTCACGGTTTCCTCAAAATAGAGCTGCATTTGCGTAAGTGAAAATTCTGAGGAACTTGTGATGCGATACTTTGTTACCGTTAGTCATATACCCTTTTAGAGCTGAAAGCGCATTATGACGCTTTCACGGAGTTGACCTTCTAAAAGCTTTTAACGAGAACATTCTGCACAATAAATCCCTATTGAACCTATGGCAACTAGTCGGGATGGAGACAATAGCTGGAAGGTTTGTGTTCGGACGAATTTGCCTTCTAAACGAAAGTGTGACGTCAAAAGAACAAAAGAACTGATCTCATCAGAAGAACTGATATTTCCATCTTTTCGGAGCAAACCGGGATGGGATACCTTCGCATAGGGATGGCCGAAAGGATTGGAGATTAACTGCAAATTAATAAGTTGGAATTAATTAAATTTAGTCATTATTA